ATATTTCTCTAAGGAACTTTTGTGGGACAGTGATCAGAAAAATCATTAGAGACATAAAAAAAATATTTCTCTAAGGAAAGTTTGTGGGACATCGATCAGAAAAATCCTTAGAGAAATAAAAAAAATATTTCTCTAAGGAAAGTTTGTGGGACAGTGATCAGAAAAAATCCTTGGAGAAATAAAAAAAAATATTTCTCTAGGGAAAGTTTGTGAGACATTGATCAGAAAAATCCTTAGAGAAATAAAAAATATTTCTCTAAGGAAAGTTTGTGGGACAATGATCAGAAAAATTCTTAGAGAAATATATCAAAATATTTCTCTAAGGAAATTTTGTGGGACAGTGATCAGAAAAATCCCTAGAGAAATAAAAAAATATTTCTCTAAGGAACTTTTGTGGAACGGTGATCAGGAAAATCCTTTGATAAAAAAAAAAATTCTCTAAGGAACTTTTGTGGGACAATGATCAGAAAAATTCTTAGAGAAATAAAAATATAAAAGGAATTTGTGTGGGACAGTGTTCATCTAAGGGTATGCTGTTGGACAGTAATCAACAAAATTCTATAGATACTGTAAAAACCTTACTGGAAGCTTGAACATGTGGTCAACAAGAATAAATATATTGTTTGTTTTATTTTTTTCTGATGATCCTTTCATAAATGTTAATCTCCAAAAACTATATCTTAAAATTCAAAAAAATCCTTATAAGAATATTTTTTTTATTTCTCTAAGGATTTGCTCGATAACAAACATGGTTTTGGAATTGAGAATCCTATATTCTAACCCAAATTCCTGCTACTAAATGATCATTTAGTAGCATAAAAACAAGGTTTTGCATTGCACTGCAGGCCCCAAAACCAAGTTCAGCATCGAGCAAATTCTTAGAGAAATAAAAAAATATTCTTATAAGGATTTTTTTGAATTGTAAGGTTTTGGTTTGTTTTGTAAGTCTGATTCTAAATGATTTAAGAATTTCAGCCAACATCCAATGCAAAAAAGATTTTGAATTCCATGTTTCGGGTAGTTGTTCCTCAAATCAATGAGCTTGTGTCTGTTTGGTTCAAGACTCGTTGTTCTACTTGGACTGGTTTCCCATGGGGGTAGCCAGCCATGGACTCAGACGACAATCCATTGGAGGATATGTCGGATATGTCGTCCACTGTGTCGGGCGACATGAACTCAGGGCCTGCTGCTAGCAATTTTACTGCACATGGCAGTGATCGCTCCAGAACGCCTGACTCTGATGCAGAGGTGCAACCACAGCCATCTGGTGGACCTCAACCATCCAGATCCAGTACATTCATTGAGGAAGATGTGTATGATCAGGAAGGACAAGATGCCAATGATCTTGATGATACAACCAAGGAAGTTCAACGTAAGGCAGGTTTCATTTCTCCTTTGAAATGACAATGGATCACATAGGACTCCTGGGACTCATGTGCGTATGGGATGGCATATGGTTATGACAAGTGTTTTCACTGTCAGGCAAAAACAATGAATTGGCCGCCGGGACCACAATCGGTACGTGAGCTGATGCAATGGACCAAGCACAATGCTGGATGCTTGATGGAGATTTCACAATGCCGTGAAAATTTCTCAAAACTGTTGAATCATCAGATAGAGATTCACGAGGCCTACGCAGGATGCGGAACCGGTGGTGTGACCATGCACCAACAGTTCAAGCATATGCTACGTCGAGGGCTAAGAGAATATGTGACTTGATATGTTCTTCACACTACAGTTGATTTATGGAAAAAATCATAAGCCGAGGTGTTTGGCGTGACACTGAGCCAGATGAGAAAGCTGATCAAATTCCGTCGGTGTCCAGTCCTTTCACAGCCACTGCATGCGATGCTGACATTCATTGCCGAAAAGTTCTTTCTTCGTTGTTTGAGGACATGATGTTTAAATGTAAATCTATACTCTGTCTGACTGTCTGACTGTGTGACTTTATTGATCAATTAGGTTTGATTATACTTATACTCAAGTCAAAACTCACATTTTTATATGCATAGGCAAAGGCATATCGAAAACATGATGGTCATCATGATCAATGCAGGACTATCGGCCTATGCATGTCCAAGGAAAACTGGAGGACCGTCTTTCAGCGACAGCGCTTGCAGACTGTCAAGCTTATAAAGAGAGTGCAATGGAGATCGTAGATGAAGAGATAAACGAGGCAAGTAACTTTGAGATTAACGATTTTGTTTAACTAGAGTTGATCATACACATGCATATACATGTGTGCATTTTTGCATGTAATTTATGGAATATAACATGCAGCTGATAGCTTCATGGAATGTATGAGCAAATCACATTAAAAAATAAAAAATATGAATGATGTATATGATAAGATGTTCACCAAAACTGCCAATACTAAGGTAAGCGTGGTCATCTCTCAGATGCAGCTGCACGAGCGATTCGAACCAAGCATGGTGACATTCTTTTCGGCAAGTACATGAAACGACTGAAGAAGAACCCTGATGGAACCCCTGTGTTTAGGCGCTACTGCAAATGTGATGTGTGCCGCTCCAGCTCACGAATTCAGGAGCTGTTTGTGTTGCATGCATCCACATTAGTTTGCTGTTTGCTTCAAAGTCTTAAGAGAGTCAGAGGCAGAGTATTCATTTTCAAAAAATCATGAGATGCATTTTGCTCATCAAACCTAGCAGCCATTTGGTACAAGGTAGTGCAACACGCCATATACACTTGATTCAGATTTGTTTCCGGCCTGACGTAATGGCATTTGTTGTTGGCAGCCCCTATGTGAACCTCGCACCATCTCATCCAACTTCAGGGCAAGTGGCCGAGTTCATTGAGACAATCCAGGAACATTTCCTTGCCATGCTCATGCTTTTGTCGCCCTTTCTGGATTTGAACAACAGCAGCCTTACTCTGAAGTTAGACTTTGGGAATATCTATCGACGCACAAGCAAGGTTGAGGCAGACTCAATCACCTTGCCGGGTCAGATGGACAGAGCCCTCATGCCACCGTCTTTCTGGATTTCACATCAGGTGAGAAAGAACATTGGAGACTTTATGATTGAGGCCAAGAATGCCTTTGGTCGACTTACCAATGATATTCAGAATTGTGTTGCCACCTTGACAGTCGAGATCGACATGCCTGGTGCTCATCAGTCAACATCAATCATTCGTGTCACCCCCAGAGGCATCACTCCGCATGCTCCATTCTCCAGGCAGTCACCCCCAGTGATGGCTTTTGATGCCATTCGACGTGCTCATCGTGATGGTGTGCCAGATGCCTTGACTTTCATTGTTGACACCGAAGAAGAGACTGAAGAAGAACCAGCCATTTTGTTGGCCCCAATCCCCCTAGGATTCAATTACTTTGACCAATTTGGACAGCGGTAAGTAGTTTGAGTGGATTGGGTTTTCTTGAATCTGGGCCAAAGCTCAGCCTTAGTTTGTTGAGAATGATGCTGGCACGTTTGAATCAAATAGTGCCTCGTTGTAAGCTCTGGTTGGTCTGTTTTGCTTAGAGCATTTGGGTGGCCTAAGCCTCGTGCAGTTACCTTTGCAGCAGAGCCATACAGCTGTGTGACGCTGAGAAAAAAAAAACAATCTTGATCTGATCTCACTGAGTGTCTCATTGATATTGTCACAGCGAACCATTATCAAGCATTAACTACCTAAATACATTCAACATCATGCATTGTGGCCAGGACTGTCCAACACCAGTGGCCTTTGGTATGGACGCCAGGGGGCAAGCAAACCCAAGGCTCAGAGTGGCAGTAGCCGGCAGCACCTGTGTGGATGTGAGTGCCATAGGTTACTGGACGAGTATGTGTATGTGTTTTGTGAATTGTTTTTGTTCTTTGTTTCTTGTGTGAATTGACTTTATCAATTTTCATTCTACTGATGTATTCTTTCGTGACTTGGGGTTGCCGAGGCACTGGATTTGGCCTGCTGGGGGTCAGTGGACTGCCGCTGGCAGTGTGGATGTCAGAGCGCTTGGCAGCACAGGAGGACACGAGCTAAACACAACAAGGAAAAAGATTAAGAGTTAATAGTAAGGGTATCAACGACGCTCAATGTCAGTCAGTGCTTTCGCAGGATGTGATCGTCCACGAATGCGCGCCGAAATTTGCCAGATCGCTATTTGAAGATTACATGGGGGAATTGTACCATGTGCACTACATCTTGGATCCGGTCCATGTCTCAGCTTCAACAGATTATCATGATCAAATAGTTTCGATATATTATATTGTATAATTGTATATTCTAAAGATTCCAAAGATGTATGTATCTTACACTTCAAATAGATTTGATTTTAAACACTATATTCTGTTACGCTTTATTTTGTTTGATTTTTGTGTATTTATATTCAGAATTCAGAATTAGATTTGATTGGACCATTGACTACTACATATGATTAATGATTATATAAAAAGCATATTGAATATGATCTCATGTCAGTCACTTATGTTTATTATGTTTCAGTGTCCTGGCAAACATCCCAGGATTCGGGAGCTCCATGGCTATTATCTCAACATCAATTTGGATGGCCAGAGCACCGTCCACGGGCCTACACCATTTTGGTCTTGAAGGCAACATGTGCATTGGATGAATCATTGGGAGGCATGCAGCTCATTCACAAACTCATGCGTGCTCCGACGATGCCGCTTTTCAAGCTGCTGTGTGCGCCGCAGGACTCACTCATGTTTGGATTGCTTTGGCTTTGGCAGTTATGTTAGTTCGTAATACATCACCAAAAACTTAAACACATGTGACAGTGATAGTCATGTATTGCCATAATCTCCCTGAAGTACCTTTAGCATATATAGTAGCATTTTTGCTCAAACGGTTTTCATTCGAGTGCTTAGTGTTCCGTTCTGAGACTCTGAGCCAGAGCCTTTGAACATCATTGTCCAATGGAGGCTGATCTCCCAGGTGAACTTGTAGAAATGGTTGCAGTGCCAGGTGATGATAGTCCGGGCGTACCATCCCCCACTTCAGTGCATTCAGTGCCAGCTGATGCTCAAATGGCACCATTGACACCGCTCCAGACACCAGGTAAAGGTGTTTCAGGCGTGAAAGAATTGGGAATCTTCAAGACATTTTGTCAAGTGAAGTCCTGCAATGCTGAGATGATGAAGCAACCGTCTAAGTGTCTTGGCAAAGTTGTGGTTGGAGTTGGAGGTTTGATATTTGATAGTTCCAAGATTCCAAGATCATGATCGTCTAAAGGCTTAGCTTGTTGCATCCAGCCTGTGATGGTCTATAGTAAGTTGATTTGATTAGCTGAAAGTTAGTGTATACGTATACGTAGTTAGCGTCTTTTTTTAAAGTGTGTATTTATATTTGTAGAAAAAAATATCAAATTACTATTATATAATATTGGGATCATATGGAACACTTCATTGATGATAACTGATAAAGTTTTGGATCTAATTCTATGAATTTTACGATAATGTATTTGCAGCGATCATGGACGTCTAACATATCTCTGAGTGATCATTCATTGTTGTCGCTAAGGTTGTTGCAACTATGCCCCAAGCATTCCCTTGCGAGAGATGGCCTTATGAAACAGGCGCAGCGCAAGGGCAAGGAGACAGCTGAGACTATTCAGTTGCTGGAGAGAGAGAATCCCATTGAAATGCTGGGCCACATCGAAAATTTCACACAAACGTGCCTGGGTAAACACAAGACAACTACACAATTTCAAAATCAATTCTTGTTGGATTGATGAAACTAAGAGCAATATCGAAATGTCATCATTTCAATATTCAATATTTATTATATATATACATTATTGTATTATATATTGCATTGTGTTGTGAACGTAAATGATGTAAACAATCAGCAATACAACATAATACAAAGAGAGGAACGGACAGATGCATGCACTAAGATCACAATATAACATTCACATCAACATATAATGTATGAGTTTTCGTATGATCAATTCCCTGGCAATGAGGTGTCCAGCGCCTGGAAAAGGGAAAAGGCAATTGGAGTGGGACTTTGGTCGTTTGCGACGTCATCGCACGTCTGGCATCCGAGATGAGACTTCATCTACCAAGCGTCCTCTTTGTCAGGAGGATTTCGTGGAATACTATACCACCAAGGCTCCTTTCTTTCGGAGTGTCTCGTCAACAAACTAGAAGGTCATATCAAGGGTGCATGAATGACAGCCTGTCCAGTGAGTGATATCGTATGATTTACATCACTGACATTGACATCATTGGGTATGGTTACTGAATGTTGTGGCGTGAGTGTGCGCTCTGAGTAGCAGGTTGATTTTTTTTTTACTCTTCATTCTTCATGTATGTATGTATGTTTTGGATTCTGCGTGTGTGAACTGACAAGGAGTGAATCAAGCTACGGCATTGATGAAGTGGAGGTCTATGTTTGCAGATCCCATGGTCCGACGTGATCAAGTTGAGGCCACTAATGAACACGGTGAGCCAATTGGAAAGGTGGCTTGTCCATTTGAAAGCGTCTACTGCTTAGGCTTTGCTGGTGTCTGATGCTTTGTTTATGTTATGATATCTATGTTACATAAAAAAAATCTAAGATGCTCAGGCTCAGTGTTAGCCATACCACAACAGGATCATTCACTATGTTTGATATTTCTTTTCTCTATGTTTGGAATCGTCGATTTGCGTCGTTGGAGGTCCAGGTCCATCTAGGTTTATTCGTAATATTGTGTTCTTTCCTCCTCGAACTGAGATATGGCGGCTATGGGTGGCAGTGGATGAATTCGAGAACAACATGACCTACAAGGATAAGCTTGAACATCACTTGTATGCTGTCAGAACTGTTCATTCTATGTATACATAATGTATATATTAATATCAACAATATTTATATATGTGTATATGTGTATATATAGACTAGACTGTAATTATTTTATAATAATATTGATATCCATATCATTATGTTCTACTATGATATGCAATATGATTACATTGTGTATTTGTCATATCATTATATAATTGCCTTCAACGTATTCTATATGCAACAAATGTTAAAACAAAATTATGTTATGAATGCAAAATAACAAATCATTTTTTGATTTGGTATAGATATGATTACAATCATCCAACTGTAACTCAATAAATCATTGTGTTACCGATCGCTATCTGTCGGCAGGACCATGGCATTTCTCAAGAGGTTGAAGACGTGTGCAAAAGGCCGACTGGACAGTTGATCCAGGCACAACTCGAGAAGGCGCAAAGTTCGGTTCTTGGTGACGAATTTGAGAGTGAGGCTGCTGTCGTTCGACTCGAGTCCATCAGGGGTGATGGGTCTACAACATTTTTGGCGCAACCTGATCCAAAGGCTAAGTCAAAGGCAAAGGCTGCATCTCAACCCAAGAGAAGGGCAGCTTCAGCCAACAATCCATTGCTGGCGGCTTCTCAGGCAAGACAAAGAAGCACGGCATTGTACTTTGAAACTGAGCGCCTTCTTCAAAGGGCAATCAAAGAAGCTGAGTTTGTCTTTGAGGTGACAGCGCCAAAGGTGCTTGGCAGTGAAGAGGCTGTGCAGAATGATGCCACGCTGGAGCTGCTTAGGAACAGATATGATTTAGTTCATGTTGCATCTGATCCCAATGCAAAAGGAGATAAGGCCGATAAGGCCTGTGAGGTGATGTTCAATCTCGCTTGCCAAGATCCTTATCTCAAGGATTGCCGTTCCACCTTGATGGCTGACCCAAAGGCTTGTCATACCCTAGGAGTTGCCAAGTACATGCGGCAGTTTGTCTTCGATATGTGTCTCGGCTGCAACTTAATAATGTTTAACCTGAGTCTGACGCGTTGTATCTTTGATTCCTTTGGTTTGGGTCCTGGGTTTTTTCTTTTTTCCATAACTAGACTCTAGACAGTCAAATTTATAAACCTTATCAGATTGGCACATGGAAAAACAAAAATACTTTTTGTATCCTTAGTCCCTCTGAGCAAATGATCGACATAATTTTGCAATCAAGGATAGTTCAAAAGGCTAAACAACATCTATGGCGACCATAGTAATAGTTATAAAAGATATGATGGAATGTGACAGCAGCAAGCATTCAATTGAAAACCTTCCAGGCAACCTACTCGAGAGCACGTCGAGCTTTGTGCAACTGCTCACCGGAATGCACTCGAGTTGCTGAAGAAGATAGCAGGATGTTGCTTGACAGAAAGCACAAGCTGGGTTGCAAACATTCAGGCATTAATCAAAGCCAAGCAGGATGAAGAGAAAGCACTCGAACGAGAAAAGGCAAAGGAGAACAAAAAGGCAGCTGCTGCTGCAAAGAGATCTGAAGAGAAGGCAGCCAGAGCAGCGGCAGCAGAGGCGAAGAAGAAGGCCAAGGCAGCAAAGTCTGCAGAAGAAGGAGCAGGTGCAGATGCAGCAGAACCGACGGTGTTGGAGGCACCAAAGAAGTCCAAGCGCAATCGGAACAGGGCTGGTCAGCAGGAGCTAGAAGAGACAGATCCTGACTTGTTCAAGACCATGTTCAAATTCAGCATTGGTGCCATGGCCACGCTGGAAGATGTTCCAAAGTTTCTTCAGCAGATTGCCGAAGCACCACAGGCGGCATGTTTGGCTCGATTGCAACGTGGTACCTTCAAGAAAGTGCTTTCAGACTCTCTGAAATTTGCATAGTTATTTTTTTCTATTGCATATCATTTACTTGTTTCATTATGTCCTCGATCTGATCAGGTAGTTCTGTTAGTTTTGTTTTCAACAAGACGGAGACGGTTGAGTAAGTCTGATGAATATGTCAGATCTAAATATATTTATTATATTATATATACATATAGATGTGATACATATAGATATAAATTATATATGTATAAATATGTAATCGGTAATAGGTAACATATATTAGTATTAGTATTATATAATGTATACAATGTATACAATGTATATAATATACATTATTAATATTATATATATATATATATTATATTATATATTATACATATATATCCTGCTAGCCACCGAGGAAGACCCTGGATTGAACCCAAAGGATTGCAATTCTATGCAAAAGGTCTTGGTTCAGCAGGGTCAGGAATTTGCGGAGAAGTTGAAGAAGACTTTCCAGAATCCCAGCTGTGCGTGGGATGCACGATCAACATCCATCACAGATGGTCCGGCTGCTATGTTGGCAATGGATGATGCTCTTGCCATGGAGATCCAAAAGTACCAGGAGGGACACAGGCAGCTCAACATCAATGTTGGCGTTTTGGATCGTACCCATCTGGCAACCGAGAAACTAAGCGGCATTTTTATCTACGGGGGGATGGGGTTGAAGCTACACAAATATCAAAAAACATATGATGATCTGATTTAATTCTCATACCTTTTTACAAAAACCTATATAATTTATAATGTATGATAACTAGATAATATACGATGATCGTTGGCTTGCTGCTTTGCCGATCCTAGGGTCTATGATGCAGTGAAGAGGAGAACAAAGTCACACGATATGGCAGCAAAGGAGGCAAATCGGATTGCAGGGGTCGCATGGGTTGGCATCAAGTGCGGCGGTGTGTACACAGGGACATTGCCTGTGCCTATTGGATCCTTCCTTTTTCAGGCTGAGGGCCAGCGAATGGTAGCCATTGTGCCATGTATGGAATGCCTGGGCTTGATGCAACGGCAAGCTGGAGAGGGCGTGTCTGAAATCCCAGATGATCTCACGGCCGACATGGCACCGCAACTCATGCAGGACTATGTGTTTTGAGAGTTTCAACTTACCAACACAGTCAATGGCCAAGGTAGTCTGATAGCCTGTTGGGTTTTCATATCTTTTTATTTCCCACCTGCCAGGTGAGGGTTGTTAGATTTTATCTAAGTTGCCTGCTCCTCCTCCTCCTCTCCTCCTCCTCTCGTCGTCCTCCTCCTCTCGTTGTCCTCCTCCTCTCGTTGTCCTCCTCGTCTCGTTGTCCTCCTCGTCCTCCTGCTCAACTGCGACTCGCGATCCACAGTGTTCGCTGCCGGACCTCAACCACAACCATCCACGCCCAGTGTTCCCTGCCGGACCTCAACCACGACCATCCACGCCCAGTGTTCCCTGCCGGACCTCAACCGCGAGTATCCACGCCAAGTGTTCCCTGCCGGACCTCAACCCGACCATCCACGCCCAGTGTTCCCTGCCGGACCTCAACCGCGAGTATCCACGCCAAAAGATATGCCACAATGCCAGATAGAATGTTAGAAGATATGCCAGATAGAATGCCAGAAGGTATGCCAGATAGAATGCCAGATAGAATGTCAGATAGAATGCCAGAAGATATGCCAGATAAAGTGCCAGAATGTTTGCCAGATAGAATGCCAGCAGATTTGCCAGATAATATGCCAGAAGATATGCTAGATAGAATGCCAGATGGAATGCCAGAAGATTTGCCAGATAATATGCCAGAAGATATGCCAGATGGAGATGGAATGCCAGAAGATATGCCAGAACATATGCCAGAAGATATGCCAGAAGATATGCCAGAACATCTGCCAGAAGATATGCCAGAACATCTGCCAGAAGATATGCCAGGTAGAATGCCAGAAGATATGCCAGATAGAATGCCAGATCGAATGCCAGAAAATATGTCAGATAGAATGCCAGAAGATTTGCCAGTAACAAAATGTATAAATGTCATGGTGGGGATCACACGAAGTAAAGTAATTTTTATTTTTGCTTCACGGCCTCACGGCAGGACATTGTGCAATTTTTGTTGGAGGCCAGTGGCTCATTCGTGGAGCAGTTCATGCCGGCCTGCTTCAGGTATGGATATGTTCAGCCTGGAGACATATTATATGTTCCAGGTGGATCGCTTCTTATCGAGAAGGCGGTGGTGGACGATAACATCGTTCTGCGTGTTCCAAGCCCATTGATCAGCACTTCAATGGTGGATTCAGTCATCTTCGCGTGCAGCACAACTAGTGCACAGTGTCTTGTCGGTTTTAGTATGTTTTAAATTTTGACTTGACATTCATTGTCTTTCCATGTGGCTTCCAATGTCTAGAAGGTTTTGGTTTTGAACAACATTGCACTTTGCACTTTGAACTTGCATACATTGAACATTGTTCCTTTTTTTCTGAGCTGCGCTGCATTGCATATATAGAAACTCATTACTATGATGACTCTGATCTATGCTGACATACTGGATTCCTTACATATGTTTGTGCCGAAGTATATGTTAATGAATTGATAATGTAATATAATATTATTAATCAAATATTATCTTATTGATTTTTTTCGTATAACAATGTTGGCTTAAGATATAGAACGTTAGTGGTATCATGTAGCAAATACGTGAGTAGACCATGTAAGCCAATGTAAGCGTATAATAGCGTATATATATATTAATATATACAAAGATTTTATATATTTTCTTAATATAAAATAGATATTGCACCGCACATATGTTGGCTAAGGGCAGAAGTCAGCGATGTCATGATGAAGGCAGCCGAAGCTTTTGCTGACACTCCCGGAAAGCTTCCGATGGTAAAGGCTACTCCAAAGAAGGTTCAGTCCCAGTCATCTGAATCAAAGCCACTGCTGGCTTTGCCGGCGCCGCCTGCACAAGAGCCTTCAGCCGCTCCATTGGAAACTGCTCCAGGGACAGACAAAGATGACAATGAATCTTCTGGACAACAGAAAGAAGAGGCTGAGGAGGATCTCGATTTTACTGACGACGAGGAAATCGATCCAGACCCCGAAACTTATGCTGATCTCTCAGACACCGAGCCTGATGCCGAGCAAAAGAACACATCTGAGAATGATCAGCAGCCAGTGGTTGATGAAGGCAACCACAAGGAATCTGATGTTGATGTCATCAAGGAGAACCAGAATCCTGATCAATCCCAAGCAGGTGATGTCATCAGTCCGATCAATCCCAAGGGCACAGCAGGAGACATGGTGGACGTGGATATGGATAAGGAGAATAAGGAGGATAAGGAGAAGGAGGATGACAAGGTGGATCATGAGAAGAAGTCTGAGAAAGATGATGGAATTGACAATGGCAATCATGAGACCAAAAGTGTGATGCAAGACCACGCTGAGGTTTCCCCAGATGTCAAAGATGGCCTGAACACTCAGGATTGCGCCGACTCCAATGGTGAGGATCTTGAATCGCTGTTGGACAGAGCCATGGAGGAGCAGCCGTCCCAACATGTTGGTTCAACCACCAGCATCCCAGCAACACAGGTGTCCCAGCCGACTCAGGCTCAATCGGTTATTGGGTCATTCTTCAAGGCAAATTCGTCGATTCAACAGCCACAGGAAACCAGTGTGGCAGAAACATCGCTTCCAGGAGATGCATTGCACTCATGTGGGACAGGAAGCAAGGCAGACAAGGCAAATGAGGCCAAGAATGGCAAGCCTGCAACTGCGAAGGACGATCTCAAAGAACCTCGCGGTCGCAAGCGTGCGGTCAATGACAGTGATGGGAAGGCTGCGGCAAAGGCAGCAGCAAAGGCAGCAACAGCTAAGGCAAAAGCTACAGCAAAGGCTGAGGCAAAGGCCAAGGCCAAAGCTTTGGCAGCTAAAGCAAAGGCCGAAGGACGTGGACGTGGACGTGGCCGCGGCGGACGTGGACGAGGACATGCCGGTGTGGACCCATGACTGGTTTGGATTCTATGTCAGCATTGAACATTGAAACATTATTCATACAATGACCATCAGTGACCGGATGAACGGATCTACATGTTACATCAGATAATGTTTATATACTATAATTTATCATGAGGCTCGACTCAATATATTGCTATCATCATCATCAGTATCAACATTGGGTTTTGCCGTCATATCATATGGTCTTAAATTTATAGTGTATGTTATCATTCATCAGTACTGCAAGACATGATGCGATGCAACGCTACGCATGGGGTGGGGTGGGGTTGGGTCGGGTGTGATATTATTCGTCAGTACTGCAAGACATGATGCGATGCAACGCTACGCATGGGGTGGGGTGTGATATAATTCGTCAGTACAAGACATGATGCGATGCAACGCTTCGCATGGGGCCTGGGGTGGGGTGGGGTGGGGTGTGATGTCATTCGTCAGTACTGTAAGACATGATGCGATGCAACGCTACGCATGGGGTGGGGTGGGGTTTGGGTCGGTGTTTATATTATTCGTCAGTACTGCAAGACATGATGTGATGCTACGCTACGCATGGGGTGGGGTGGGGTGGGTGGGGTGATATCATTCGTCAGTACTGCAAAACATGATGCGATGCAACGCTACGCATGGGTGGGTGGGGTGTGGTGTGATATCATTCGTCAGTACTGTAAGACATGATGCGATGCTACGCTACGCATGGGGTGGGGTGGGGTGGGGTGGGGTGATATCATTCGTCAGTACTGCAAGACATGATTTTGTTTTTCTGATAATAAACTCCACTGATGAAAAATGAAAATAGATGACGGTTTTGACTGTTCGTAGTTTGTTTATATTTTAGCTTAATTATGTATAATATATGTAAATGTACACATGCATTGCACATACTACTGTACATGTATTTTGTATTACATTTTTTAAACCTATATTCATATACCACTCAAAAAACAAGCAAATATCACAACTCACAACCTGACTTGGCTGCCGACGCCTAAGGACAACGATGATGTCACGTGGGGTCCGATCATTGCTTCGAAAGTCAGTGTCTTCGATGTGGGTAGTCGGAAGCACAAGTGATCCGGTTCGGCAATGCAAAATCCATGTGTCCGGTCAAACGTTCCAATAGTGAGCACACGAGTCATTTTTGTGACTGTGATGATTCCGTGATTAATTAAACATCGAACAAGAATCCAAAAAACTAGGGTTCAAAGTTCTGAGGAATCTGTTCTGTTTGTTAGTTGTTTCAACGTCGAGTGGTGAGGATTCCGTGTGAAAGTGTGAACATATTTTTTTTTCTGACGCATATATCGGTATCAAAGTCTATCCGGTCTATCAAATATGGTTCTTCAATTCAATTTCCATATATATATATATATTTGATGCTTTCAATTTTTGAAGCAAAAGATCTCCGACGGTGCCTCACCATACGAAACACGGGTTATCGACTTTAATGTCGAACAATATGTTGTACGCACAGCGAGTGCCTACACTAATTACTTCGAACCAACAGACCGTGCCAGTCAGACAAACATTGACTGGACAAAGTCCGAAATGACGGGGCAAAAAATGATGCCAGTTGCTCTGCTCCGGCAGTGCTTGATAAAGCGATTTTTCTTTTAAGTTAGCATTAGCTGTCCCGAGCAAGTGTATTCCTGCAGGAGCTGGTGGAACGTGCCAGAAGTCAAGCTGCCCACAAGGCATGCAGAGCGCTGGACAGCTCATTCGAGAGTCTACTCACTGGAAGCGAAGCTGCACCAATATCATTATGATTGCAGCCAATACATTTAAAAAACACTTTCATAATTCATAATTCATAACATTTGTGAACGCCGCTGCAGCCAATACATTTAAAAAACCACTTTCATAATTCATAACATAGTATAATGATTGCAAATCGATGCATTTGATCTGAGGAGCCAAGAAAGCTTGGCTGAATGGCTACAGAAAATTGAAAAAGGTGACCAAGCATCAGGCGAAGGCCAAATCACGTTTTTTGACTGTTTTATGCTAAGTTTTCATATTGTTTTTCTGTTGTTTTACCACATGACCTACGGGTATCGAGTATGATAACCGTTGAAACAATTATCATTGACTCTTGCCATGTGTGCCCAATGCCTCAGGGGGAGAGTTGGCATCTATGATTTGCAATTTACAACAAAATCCATCCAAGCGTCCCATCGTGGCGAGCTGGCTTCCGGCTCTACTACGTCAAGGATGCATGTACATCATCCATCTCCACGGCGATCAGTCAACTATGTGCGAAGAACGCTGGATGTTGGAAGAGGACTGGCAGGGTAAAAAAAAACGAAAATATGTTTGAAAAAATACGAAACAATCACAGTCACAGTCACATTCACACTGACACTATTTTTTTTATCAAACGTTCTGCCTAAACTGAAATCAGAGAAGAATCGGCACCACAAGAGATATGTGACCCAGTGCTGTGTGCCTTTCAACTTATGTTACCAGATCAGGAACATCTTCAATCGATGGCCATTCCCCAGTTCAAAGAGCATTCGGATCCTTCAGAACCATGCCCTCTTTGGGGATACACTCCACCATATACGGTGAAAAAAAGATTAGCCGGCAACGTCGCGAGTTAGCACTTTGTGTAGATTGTTTTTTTTTTAAATGTTTTGTATTTTGTTCATTGCGTATGTTCTCTGCCGGCGTTGTATATGTTACTTATTTTTTTAGATATGTTGAACGTTGTTATATATATATATCGTTATGTATGTATGGACGTGTTTATGTTGTTATTGTTTCAATATTTACAAAATATAATTATTTTTTTGATACTTATATTATATATAATCATGTATATTATAAGATTATATCATATCATATTATAATATTTTATTATTGTTTTTTTCCTCGGTTCATAAATTTGTTGAGTATGTGTGTTTATATTCCTTGCCTGGCCGAGGCCATGCATGCGGCTTGCATGGGAAGCATTTGGGCGGTCCTTCTATGCGTCCTGAAGTACAACCCGTAGTGTTCCACTGAATGATATCAAGACGTGTGTGGCTCCATTTGGGCGGTCCTTCTATGCGTCCTGAAGTACAACCCGTAGTGTTTCACTGAATGATATCAAGACGTGTGTGGCTCTGTGAGGCTATGTGTTTAAAAAAGGAATCGATCAACTAACACTATGTTAACTGATGAAATGATTTGATGTCACATAGGATGTCGTCACAGCCTCTCCACGGGCATCTGAATCTGGAGCAGATGGGAGTTGAGGAAACAGAGAAAAAAAGAAAATGATAGATTGCAGAGGGGCTGGATATGGTGGAATCGGAGACTCATGCTTATCAGCATACAAAGCATTACAAGCTAGTGATCACATACCAGAGC